ACCTGAAGTAGTACCCCTCAAGGACGTATCTGCTGAAACAGTCACACGCGTCTTCGTGGAGAGATGGATCGCCCATCCTCAATGACAGCTGACCGCGAGCGGCAATTCGAAAGCTGCTTATTCTTCTCCCTGACTAAAATCATAGGTTACATGCGTTTCCGAACAACAGCCTACCATTCTCAAGCAAATGGTATGATAGAACGTCTACACAGACAGTCGAAAGCTGGTTTGTCAGCTGCAAACAATACCCATTGGACTGAATTCCTTCCGTTAGTTCTCCTAGGGATACGAAACACCCTGAAAACCGATGCTGGTTTTACTACCGCCTGGTGAATTTGTTTCTCCCTCGAGCTTCCCACTAGCGGTAGATCACGCTTCATACGTCAGCAGGCTTACAAACGCAATGCGTTCAGTTAAACCTGCTCCCCTTTGTCAACAGTCCATTGATGTCCTTGTTCACCCGTGTTTAAAAACTTCTTCACATATATTTGTTCGTCGTGACTCTGTGCGTCGACCTCTGGAACCACCATACGACGGACCATATAACCTAATTAAACGTATGGATAAATCCTTTTTCTTAGACAAAAGGCGCCGCGAAGGCACCGTCAGCATCGACCGGCTTACTTGGAAGGTAATCCTATTAGCCTAGAGCTGAGCGTACCCAACAATCCACAAGTAATCGAATATTCTTTAGTCGTCGAAGAAGTTACTAGCACGGCGTTAGTATACTCCGTACAATTCGCGAACGTCAAGACCGTCTACCTCTAAAATCTTAACAATAGCAAAAGTGGCGAATACTAGTGGAGTTCAAAACTGTATCCACTCACTCTAAAATTTCATCTTGTGATGAATGTACGTTCTCTGCCCAGCTGATGTCCCCTTTTCATTATCCGTTTGGGACTGTTTCTCTGTCTGTTACACGTGCACACTTCAGAGGTAAATAAGTAATCCCTACTAAATGCTTAAGGCCGTACATATTTCTGGAGGGAAACTATCTCTCGCATCTCCCATGTCTCCATGAATCTTTTCGCAACATCCAGTTAGGGAAACTTCTTGTCGTACACATAGTTGTATGAATTTATGAGGTCAATATTGAAAAATCTTGAGAAAATAACCTGATGGTTAGCTCAGCGATGAACTATACTTATTATTTTATTATTTATTTTATCCCTTTGTGTTCCCAGTGGAACATACGGCTTCAAGATAGAGCTATGAAATTTCAGTAGCAGTGGTTTTATTTATACTAGGTAAGATTCCTAGTCTTTATCTCCTTGCCAAGCATACTACCAACTAAGTGAGGTTTGCGAGTGCCTTGTCGGTCTGGGATTGAATCCCGGACCATTTGAGTGGTTGACCAATTTTTTACCACTAAATCACCGACACTCGGTAAATTGTGCTAGGACCAGTTAAACACAATTCACCCCCACCAGTCTTCTCTCTTATTCACTTGAAGGAACATAACTTATAATAAACATATTTCAAGGAATTCATTCTAATTTGTTCACAATCATAGTTTATTATAATTATATTACGCATCTTATCATAAGGATCGTTTTTTTAAATCCTTTTGTATAAAATCAACTTTTTAACTCCATGTTAGTATTTCTGCTTATTTTCTCTCATACAGTCTGCACGTCATCTTTCTGCAACAACATGTATTCCTACTGTTGACCTTAAACCACACCATTTTTTACAATGCATAACCGAAAAGACGACGTTAGGACAGTTTTCAAGCATCTGGATTACAAGTGACTTACAACAGTGAGCATTCCTCCCTCCATCAAACTCAAATTCATTCAATATCAAAAGGAGTATCTATTACTTAACACAAAGAGAAAGGAATTGCACCTCGAATATTTAATCAGGAGAAACACATGAATTAAAGCTTTTGAATTGTTACAGCGTTCACAGGGAAATATCACTAGTGAAATATGTAAAAATAAAAACTCCTGAAACTCAAATAAAAAATTAGTTAAAAGAGATCTTGGGAACAGCCGAATTTCAATTCACGTTATATAGTTCACTTAGGAATCAGAGACGATTTTCTCCACACTGAGTAACATTTCTAGACCTCTTGTGCTGTACGAGGAACGTTTTCTTTCAACCATTGTACAATTGTCTGGAGGTGGGTGTCAAGCCATTTCAAATTTCGCTTCGAGGTAGTTAGCAAGTTCTTCAGTTCCCCTTTGAGTGTATGATTCTGTGGTAACTGTAGCCAATCAGCCTCTGTTCTCAGTATCTGTAAAGGAAATGAGATGTGTTATGTTCATGTTTACAGTTATGAAAAACATGTTTCGAAGAAGAATATCTAAAAATCTCTACAGTAATGAAATGAAGGCGCATGTATTCAGGTTTCACTTGTAGGTGAGTAGTTGTGAGTATGTATAATTATCGTCCACTAATACTATTTATTCAGTCCTGATGCACACCAATACAATAACTGTAAGATTTCTGATTAAACACCAGGCACTGGCTAATTTCCTCTGTTGTCCTGTTCTTCGTTTCACGCTAACTGAATTCTATCAGTTAAGTGTGCAATTTGGTCACCATGCTAGCTGACTTGCTATCACGGTGCAGTTTGGATCGTTAGGGTATAACTACAGTCACCCACTTCTTCAATCAAAGACATTACCACTACTATTGAGCCATTCATTATCGTGATTGATCTTCTGTGAGACTGTAGTGGATGCTTTGTTTGGACACTAGGCAGTAAATGGTATCATGTGTGTCATTCTTCTTTTGGCGTAGACAGAATTCAATCATATGACAAGCACGAAACCAAGGTCCAAGGCTTCCTGCTGCCTGCCTCCAACTACCTCACTTCAAGTGAACATAGATAAAACAGAGGTGATGAATATTACTGGCCAACACCAACAGCAGCAACAACAACAGACAACAATCAGCCAGCATAAATGGGAGGAACATGAAACAAACAACCTCCTTTACCTACCTACCCAGTAAGCATCGTTTCAACTATGGGCGGCGGAACTGACGAGGATATCAAAGCACAGAAAATCGGGAAAGCAAGACAGGCTTTCATTACACTGAAGTCTGTGTGGAGGTGAACAGCACTCATCATCAAAAGTAACATCCGAATTTTCATCTCCAATGTGAAGTCAGTGCTACTCACTGTACGGATCAGAGACTTGGCGCGTCATAAAGAGCATCTCAAACAAACTACACACCTTCATTAACAGTTTTCTTCGCTCAATACTACTCAAGACTAGATGGCCGGTCAGAAAATATCAGCAACAGGGATCTCTGGCAATGAGCGAACCAACACAGCAGGAACCGATTGTGAAACCAATAGGCAGGAAGAAATGGTGATGGATTGGCCATATGCTGAGGAAACCATCAAGTGGCATCACACGCCAGGCCATCGCTTGAGTGGAAACCGAAAGGGAAGCGGCGAGTTGGTCGTCAGTGCAAGGTTTACTTGGATGAGGTCATGTGAAGAGGAGATGAAAACATGTGGATAGACTTGGAGCGGGGTGAAGAAGTTGGCTCATTACAGAAGGCAATGGATATGCGCAGCTGAAGCCCTATGTTCCTCAAGGAACTAAAGGATAAAATAATAATAATAACCTCACAAAAACCACAAGATTTCTGGACCAACTTGATGAGGATGAAGTATAATTTAACCACTCACGATTCAAGTATACAACCGGTTCACCTTCTGCTATTACCAAAATTTAAACATGTAAGATACTTCCCGTCTTCCGTGTCACTGTACATCAGCAAATCTTATGCTCAAGGCATTATCACACTATACGCGTCATTCAGAGGACATTATTAAAATGTTCCTTTTCCATTAATTCATTAATTCATGGGGAGACAAAAATAATCGCGCGAATTGCAATAGCTACTATCCACGTAATTAAATAGCTTATAATTATTCGCATAAATAAATCGAACTTTATGTGAGGAGAATATTTTGTTTAGGCACTGTGGTACTTAAGTATGATCTCATATCAGTCATGTTTATCTGAAATAATACACAGAAATACATTAATATTAAATGGATCACTTTTCCAACACAACTCATTGTAGGAACTCATACGTATAATCATTACAAAGAGATGAGTGAATAGAAGTTACCTTGGCATTTTGTCGCTCAAACAAACATTCGCATTAAACCATTTCTCACTTCATTTTATTTCTGCATTCCAGTGTGGGTTGAGTAGATTTATGGAAATTCATTTAAACTTCAACTCTGATTTCCAATATTAGAATACTTAATCATAATTCCATCTGACTGGTGTGAAACAGTTTCCAAACAACTTAAAATTAGTGCGACTATTCAAAATATACGAGTTTCACGGAGTACTTTGTAGTTGCCATTTTCAACTCTAAATGTCAAGGACAAACTCCATTTGATGTAATCAGAGGAGCATGATTGCATCCCACAGTGAAAAGTTCAAGATCTAGCAACAGTTCATGTTGAACACCTCCTATATTAGTGGACCTAAATTATTCGGACCACAAACAAGTAGCGTCACTTGCTGTGATGTCAATTAATTTGTGTTTCTCTGCGTCATGGCAAGATAAATCATTTCTGCACAGATCCCCATTTCATCGGTTTCAGAACCACTGAACCAACAGGCACAGCTGTTCCATTCAAGTATGATAATCTTTAGGAATGCTCAGCCACATCTGTAGGCACTTACTGGGGTTCGAACCCAGGAACTTCAGGTCACAGAGCTACTCCATAACCCATTTAGCCACTGGATCCTGATACGACGACCAGCCCGTGAATTCCAACTTCTATCAATTTGTGGTATATATATATATATATTGCAGTCGTCAGTCAATGTTATATGCGAGTTACTGTACTCTTACCTGACTCGTGGATCTCACTGGTCACGAGTACCCTTTATAAACACACACTTGTACGTATCAACACATTCATACTAAATTTTATTTTCTAACACATGTACACTGTATTTTACAATCAGTGCGTTGAAGAACAGTGAAAATTATCATGTTGAAATCAGACTCACCTTTTCCCCATCATTTCTGTTATTCAAGCTGTAATATGGATTAGAAAGACTCTGGATCACTTCTTTGGTGAATTCATCACTGAAAAAGAAAAGCGTGTGAAAGTCAACATTGTAAAGGTGAAATTAAAAGCGATAAAGTTAATTATGCTAACACAGTGTAAGCGATTTAACTGTCTTTTAGGTTACACATTAATTATTACCAGTATTATTACTATTGTAACAACAGAAGACAAGGGCCGGCAACAGATCGCTTTATTACGGAAGTCAGCAAGTATTTATATATATTTCATGTGCATCATTATAGCTTATTCAAGCAGACAAACACAGTCTTCTGATTGGTTGTTTCTGGTTTCTCCAAAAGTTAAGCCATACATCTGCGAATCTTATTTGCCCACGTTAAGTCTGCTGTGATTGGTTGTTGAATCAGCCTTGTTCATATTTTCTCACGGCCAATATTGGTGACCTAGACATTGACGTAAATTAATGTCTACCAATTGGCTAGCAGCCTGCTCTCATCACACTATTATCTGCTTTGGTTCCGAGAGGAAAATAGGGCTTCATCCTCACGTCTCAATTGCATTCGGTCCTCTGCCAACGTTTTCAGCTGGCTCCACGTCTGACCACATACTTTCATCTCCTCTTCACATCACCTCCTCCACTCCATGTCACCCTCACAATGACGACCAACTCAAAGCTTCCTTTTCGGGTTCCACTCAAGAAAGAGAAAGTCTGGAGTGTGATGTCACTTGATGGTTTTCTCAAACTATGGCCAATCCACCTCCATTTCTTCCTGCATATTTGCTGCACAATTGGTCCCTGGTTGGTTCGCTCATTGCCAGAAATCTCTTCCTGTCGCTGATCATTTCTGGCCATTTGATCTTGAGTATTCAGCAAAGATGGCTGTAGACGAAAGTCTGTAGATTGTTTGAAGTGCTCTTTGTGACGCGCCCAGTCTCTGATACACAAAGTAGCACCGACTTCACAATGGAGTTGGAAATCTGGATCTTATTTTTGATGCTGAGTGCTGTTGATCTACACACAGACTTGCCTTGTTTTCCCGATCCTCGCTTTGATATCCTCATCAGTTCCGTCCGCCTATAGTTGAAGCGGTGCTTCGCAGATAGGTAAAGGAGGTCGATTCTTTCAGATTCTTCCCATTTGTGCTGATTGTTGCCTGTTGTTGTTGCCGTCGGCCAGGAATCTTCGTCACATCTGTCCTCCCTTTGTTCACTTGGAGTTCTATCTTCGATACTTCTTCTCCCAACTTGTTGCTTTTCATTTGCATCTCTTCTATTTTATGTGAAATCAGGCACATATTGTCAGTGAAATCCAGAACCTCCAAGTATTTTGTGTGGGTCCATTTTATGCTTGTCTTCTCGTGCCTCGCTGTCTGTCGCGTTATGCAGTCTACCGAAATCAGGAAAATCATTGGAGATTTTTAGCAGCCAGCCGGCCTCGTATTACTCCTGCCTTTACTTCGACGGTTTCCGTGAGTTTCCCAATGATTATTACTAGCAACAAACAGATTCCAAATAAGGCTGTCAACCGCAATTGCAGATTTCATTTAAACAACACTTTCATGTTCATGATATTTCAAAGTTTCAATTTATGTACTGCGTTACATCCATAGAACAAACAATGACGGTGATTACTCCTCCTTGTGGATAATTAGCATAAACATAAATTCATATGACACACCGAAAATCACCTTTCCTGCCAAGAAGAGGAAAGCCGTTAGCTTATCCAAAATCTAGACTGGCGCACTTCCAGACATAGTACAGTCATCAGTGTATGAATACCAAAGTAATTTGCAGAACAGCAAAGTTGTTCAAGGAGGAATCTCACACAAGTTAAATGAATTTCTGAGAATGAAATTTAACAGTTGGTTTGAATTCTTAATGCAATGGAAATCAATGGTGATAGAACTCACATATCAGTTGGGGAACGTGTTGAATTTTCCATGCTGTAAAAGAAATAGACGAATCATTTGTTAGAACTAATTCGATTTAATCAACTTCCATACAGGTTTTGATCATTAGGTTAAATATTCTACATTTAATTAACTAGAGGTCACTTATTGAAACATTTCCGCAGTATAATCAGCTACAGTTGAATATATTACGTTTAGTAATTATGAGTTAATTAGTTCCAGTCATCTGTCACTGAGGATTCCTCTTTTTAAACACCAGTCATTACTCAGATATACCTTCACAATTTGCTTAGAAAGATGTTGTGAAAGTATGTAGAAAGGAGTCGGCTATATTCCCCTTTATTGTGCTTTCAATGTGTATGTCCAAAATGTGTACATCTGGACATTTTATTGGAGTGTTTTCACTCAGTTATAAACTCGTCAGAGTATTCCTTATATCTTGAGGCATTTGTATAAAACTAAAACTCGGATGTCAGGAACACTTTTGTATGGAAACTCATAAAATCTTAAAGGTTTATTAACCCGATGACAGGTAGTTCAAATGAAATATTTTCTATGTAGCAATATCGAGGTTACTGGCTTCACTGACATACACGGAAAAATTATTCGGACCGATGTACTGAACGACGCAGAAACCGAAAGTGTGAGATATAAATGGCAATACTTAGACGGTAAATATGTCGTCTATTATAGCTTGACCCCAACAGGGCTACTGCCAACCAGTGCTTCATGACTTATAAATTTTCCATACAATGAGTAATGCAGTTACTAATTTTATGTTGCTGACTCTAGTCTTGGTAATTTTCCATCTAATGTTTTGCAATTTGCATGCATAAATGAGTAGATTATAAGTTGAGGAGAACGGATGCTGAGTGTTCCATAGTACGCCACGCCTCATCATCGAACAGAGCATAGAAGAATGGCAGTCGGATCTCCATATTCAGCTTCATCCGACTTGAAAAAGTCTTCAATAGAGTTGACCACGAAGTTATTCTGAAACTACTTCTGCACTACAGAGTACACTGAACCTGCTTCAGTTTCATTCAACAGTTTTATGATGATGCCACCTGTCAACTGATTCACAACGGAAAACTCACATGAGTTAGACAAGGCTGCCCACTACTATCCCCGATGATATTCCGAATTGTTGTGAACTAGATTATTCACTGTGCTTCAGAGTGAGAAGACAGGAATATATTGCATGGATAAGAAGATTCTAGAAGATCTGGGTTTCGCGCATGATTTTTCTGATCTTTGTTTTGGAGATCTACAGGCGGAAACCAACAAGTTGACGATAGGGCTAGCAGCAAAGACAGGAGTTCAAGTAAACATAGTGGAATAGGAGGTGATGAAGATAAAGAACAACTCTAAAACAATAGCAACCAACAATCACCATTGACAGAAGGAATTTGAAGGAATGATCTTCTCAACTATGGTTGACAAGTTTAAGAACATCAAATTCTACATCGGAAAGGCAAGGCAGGAATTCATCAGCCCACAGTCAGAATGGAAATCTTCCACAGTCATTATAAAGAAGAAGATTCGGAATATCAACACTAATAACATCAGAAAAATTTCTCTCCTATATGGTTCGCCCATTCAAAATTATTCAACTGGAATGATTACTTTATTTTGTTGCAGAGTCCACCTTACAAACTCACCAGACGTTATATGAGTGGCTTTCTGATAATATTGTTTCTACTCCACTGATGTCATCTTAGGGTTGAGTCACGTAGTCACGCTCAACAATAGTCAGACAAAATGTCATAAAAATATGAATAAAAATGTACGAATCAACAGGGAAAATGCAAATGTCATAAGTGAATGACAGATCGTTTGTTCTATTAAATGTCATGGATAAATTATAAGGTAAATTCAAAATACATCTCAAGCTCAACTCACCCAGTTTTCAAAGATTTGACCGCTTCATGCACATAGTCCCACAACATTCTGTTACCGATTGGAGATACTGCGAATTCAGGAATCGCTGACCAGTATTGTTTGTCTTGTTTAATCCAATCAAAGTATCTGGATGTGAACAAAACCAGGAGGAGACAGTGACGTCATCATCATCATTATCAGAATGTGACAGTTAATGTTGAGGGATTCATTCTGTCTCTTTGAATACCTACAGACCTGATACCTGAATATCACATTTGTGTTGTGTCGCCAACCGAAACGACGAGTTTCATAGTCGTCGTCAATTTAAGGAAACAGGAATGTAAGGAAGAAGGCGAATAGTGGCAGAAGACAGGAACAAAACGATGAGAAGTTACTTCTCCGTCAAGTCAGGGGGTTCTATGGCGTCTAGCAGCAATAGTTCGGTTATTCCCTGCCTCCATATAATTCTTTCTTATTAACCAAAGTTCATTGTGTATTTTGCATCCTCTATAGAAAACATTTCACCTAAAGACAAGTTATTCCCTCTGAAATTCGATTCTCTGTAACTTTAAACCTTAAATTTTTGGTTATTTTTATTATCGAAACCCTTAAGTCCCTAACAGTCTTGACAACTCACTCGGTGGCCATCATCATGATCACCATAAATGTTTAGATTATTTGATAAGGTCGGGTATTTTATCAACTATTTTCTTTCACATAAACAGTTCATTACAAAAAAAGACTTAAGTGATAACAATTTTGACAGTGAATTGAACATAATCAGTGTTAACTTGCTTATTCGACTAAATTGAAAGGCATAAAATGAAATTCTGATTGATGACACATGGTCTAGTCTTTCTTCGTTTTCAATGAACAAACATCGGACGAATTAACTGTTAATATTATATACACTTACAGTTTCATCGTCCATATATCACGAGAACAAGATAATCCCGTCAAGATATTTTCTTTTTCAACATCTTCCGTCTCATTAACATTGTACTGACTTCTGAGAAATTTCCATTCTGCTTGCCCACCAAATCGGATAGCTGTACAGTAGACGACTGATCTCAAACCAGGCGGTATGCTATGGAATGTGTATTCAGAGTTAACAGGAGGTAGAATAGGCAATATATAATCAGACTAAAGAAGACAAATTTTGAATCAGGTTGATTAACTATCTCACCTGATGATAAGAACTGGATGTTAATTATGGTTTCACCTTTGTATAGCAATAGTTGTTTGGGAAGTCCCTCTTGGATGATTTATTTACGATATTGTTACTTATTTAGACATTCCAACCAACTCTGTGATTATTATCCCTTTTTGTCCTAGACTGTCCATCAACGTTCTGACGTTCTTGTGTTGTCTGATGACACAGTCCTCATTATTTGTCCTTGTTTCTGTTCAATCTCCAATTTTAATGCTTCTCTTTATGGTTGTATTATGACATCTGTAATGTGTTATTTTTTGACAGCGATTATGTTCTAGAGAGTCAAGGTGATTCTGAACTTCGATTGTCTTCAGGAATTGTTTGGTGTGTGTGTGTGTGACTTGCTAAGAGAGTTTCAATCCCACCTAGTTGGAAATATACTTCTTGATTCCTAAGTACCTTATACGGTTGATCTAGACTGAATAATTCTGTTGTATAATACTTCTCTCGTATCTGAGATCTGATTTGATCTGCATAGCTGCCTAATGGGATTGTTGAGGTAATTTTGCATTTCCATATGTTATGATTGTATTTACTTGTACCGTGGTATTTATCATAAACAGCTGTCTTTTTACTACTGTCCAGACGTTTTTGTGACTGTGAGTAAATGATATAAAGAACTTATGGTGGCCTGTTTAAATCACTGGCCAACCGAAACTGCTTTCCACCATAATGCTTAATTTCATGGGGATTTATCGTTGTTTTAATTGTTCAGATATATCAAATAACCTATAGATGAAATTCAGCGCTGATTCAACTTGTTTCCAAGTAAACGCTGTGAAGTTCTTCAAGGAAACAAAGATATACTTCAGATTATTACTTTACATGTAAATCGTCTTTCAAGAAAAAATCATTTTGGAACTTAATACACTGAAGATTTTTGTACTATATGTTCACATATTGTGTGAAATAACGCTTTATTATTATTACTATTATTAATAATTTATTGTTAGCTTTACAGTAGAACACAATGAATCGGTTTCCTGCTTTCAAACCACAACACCCCAATTTTTGGTCGTTACTGCCTTTTCTCCAGTGTTTCTTCGAAGTTTGCGTTGAAACTTGCCTGTAAACAGATTACTAAGTATTTTTAGGTATTTTGCAACAATCTTACCCCATTTAACAATAGATTTGCTTGATAGAGAGCTTACTGCATGCTTGAATCTCGATTCCCCCTATAGAATTAAACCATAACTACGGTTAATGAATTATGGGGAGAAAATTTAGCACCTTTCGGAGAGTCATATCTATGAAGAATGCATATTTCGAGGATATAGACGAGTCAAATATTTGACACTATCAAATGGAGGCCAAGTATTGGTTTGTAGGGATTAGACTGACTGGTTACGGGATTCCACCATGAGCTGTCGTAAATTGTTCAATGGATCTGGTACCAGCGGCTTAGTTGTCTACGAGCTAGATCGCCTTGTAACCAGAAGGACCTGGATTCGGTCTCCGGTAGGCGCGTATTGGCGAAGAGTCCCAAACAAGACTGATGAAACGGCTGTCTGTCCAGTACTCCCTGCAAGTTTTCCAATAATTGAAGGCCAAATCAGTACATCTGTTATGAACAGGTCATCCATCAGCCACTTCATCATCAATCAATTTTGTCAAGATATTTCAATAATATGTGATCGACAAGTTGAGGTTTGTCAAAGAAGTGAGTTCCTATGAAATTCTCTTGAAATATATTTCAACTTCATACTCCAATAATGTTTATTCTGCTGTGGTACACTGATCGCCCAAAATATGTTTACCAGTAATATGTATCTTTAACGAGAAATGGATTCAATAACACCGTAATGTCCATCAGTCATGAGAATTCTTCACTGATCTTGATTCATCCATCTATTTAGTTATGAAATTCATGTCACATTAATGAGTTTCCCTACCGTTTGACTCATCTCAAGAGATCTTAAAACAAGTAAGTGTTCAGATTCGTTGGTTGATCAATAAAACGTGCCTCAGAATGCCATAAATGAGAGATGGACATCTGCATCGTTGGAATATTTTGACATTCAACTAGACTAAATGATACTCTAAATGAAATTACGTCAGCTTTCCATCTTTATATTGGAAAGTGTCACTATATTACCCACAAATAATGGTAAGTGGAGTGCTCTCCAAGACTAAATACATGGAACAATCTGGACAACTTCTCTTAACAACACATCTCGAAAATGTTACTGTTGCTCTTCAAATCACTTCCACATCGATTCAAACAAAATGTCTAGGCGACTATCTCATTATAACATCAAAATAAAAGTTAATGTTTCTTGAATAACTCACGGATTCGTCACAGGTTCCGACATCCATAGTGTGAATAACACTCTAGCAGTGAGTAAACATAATTCATGTTCAACATGACAAGCAATTTCCCCCAAGGTTCCGCGTAACAAACTGAAGATCAACAACAAAACGAGACAAGAAATCAAATGCAAATCAACCTTTTTTGATGAGGTTTAAGTCATTGACAACTGAATATGAAGCACATAGATGACCATAAATACGTGCCTACAAATTTATTCCACACAACGTTCAGATACATGCAAAGAAAATCAGTATATGCTAAAACATCCTGCATCGCTAAAATCTTCATGAGTAATTGAAAGTTTTCGATTGTTAAGCATTTTATCCCTGATCACTTTTCACTATTATCATCGTTATAGCTCTTGGCCAGACCTTACTTCAACTCTTTTCACTCCCATCAACTATGTTATGTGTCTCTATTTAACGATTTAATTCCACTTTAATCTCTAACTGATTAATGATTCTGTATTGAGCGAATTTCTTTAGAATATTGGCGTTTATCTAGAAAACCGAAAATTTTAGTGATGCGCTTCTTAATTAAATCACCCAGCTCAGGGAACACAACCTCATTCAAATGTATGGAAGCATTCGGAGATTAGAAGTGTCTGAAGATTTCTTAATCATATTTCTTAATCCATTAGTCTTGAAATACCACTGCCATTAGCACTACATTTGACATAACAATTAGGCATAATTAGTGTGACGAATGAATGATTAAGAAAGCTATAAAACTTACTGTTTCTCTTCATTGCGATCTTCTCTCATAGTTATCCAATCAACGTCTCTCACAGCTGCATTTACAAGGAGACGTACATATGCTTGATAATCTCCGTAATTCTCATCCAAAAGAAGCATACGGTCAAGATAGAGAAGAGCTCTTCCGGCAGTTGTCCAAGGCACATATTGCGTTTCTTGGCTCAAATATTTCGTCAAGTTCAGGAAAGTAGTGAATGATACGTTACCATGACTGGAAGAAAGTAGAAAATATGTGAGATTTTCAGTTATACTTTGATTGGACACTAGACAGTAGTAAATAGTTGTCATGTGTCTAGTCTTTTGTTCAATGCACACTGAATTTTCGTTTGCTATTTCGTTTTCAAACTGTCCTGATCAACACAAACTATCTCAGCCTTAAACGTTTCAACTCTTGGCATTCCGAATGGTGACACTCAGTATGTACTTCTCACTAAATTGAATTGAGATCTCATATTTTATCTTGAATATGTACAAGAACTTCAAAACCTAGTTCACCTTAATAATCCTACAGGTTGTTGATAGTTTTTGGGGCAATATGGTGTTTGAGATTCAGAAATACTTTGTTTTCCTCGAAACATTGAACAACCGATAACTGTTTAAATGTATCTCTTTTTACTAATGACATTAAGAAGGTGAAAATAGGCAGGGTGTAATGTTGGAGGAAAACGTTTACACTGTTTTTGAAGAAGAATGCAGTCTCTCATTCACTGTCTGAGATATCATGCTAGTGATGGGAGAAATATAAGCACATTTAATGTAACTATGAGTGGATTTCCACACACTGTACACTAAGATACACTTTGCAGTTCCTATTGAAACAACACAATTGAAGCAGGAACGTCTTGGCTACTAATTCACCTCCAAAGGAACTTTGTTTAGGCTATAATTTCCACTATTGCGGATGAAGCATATGCGTATAAATTTTGTAGCAATCACCTGTTGTGTAAACTCATTACTATGTTATTATTAACGCTTTACCATGACACCATTAGACATGAGAATTTCAAGGAATAAATGCAAGACGAAATATCCATATCCTATTCCAGATGAAATTGTTAACAGCTCAGATTTTTTGAAATGCTAAATAGGTGCTTTTCTTGACCTCTGTGAAATCATGAAACAAATCGAGAAAAATGAGGAAGATATCTGATGTTTCCAATGAACCAGTATAACAATATGAAGCCTTCTTATGAAAACAACTCGCCTACCAGATAGTAGGATAGTGCAGAGAAAGAACTAGAGGTGTATAGTTAACCTGACCACTGCTCATCAGTTAGTGATTCCATAGGTATATTTTTATTTTATGATCTTCGTTTAGTTAGTGATCACTTACTTTGCGAGATGGAATAAATCACCGATGATCTGTGGACGTGCAGAATCTGGAATACTCTGAAAATAGAAAATAGACCATATGAATTAACAGAAATTTTGAATGATCTTTGAATGCCATACTTGTGGAGATTCAAATTATTTCAAAGTTAATGTTTTTGTCTCACTAGGCAACACACATCAACTAGAAGAGAGCTGAAAACCAAGGAACTGCAAAAGGATTCTTCATACTAGAATGGGATTCTCCAGGAATCCACATTGATTACCTGATCACGGATAGAACACACACGACAAGGACGTCATCAACTCAGATTGTTTCCACATTCTAAAATTAGACAAATGTCTTTTGGCGGACAAAGTGTTTTTGTGAAGATATGGCTTCTGCAATATGAACTACAATTTTCTAAGTCATTTTGACAAACAGATTTCGGTGTTCTGTGAAATCCTAATTATTTCGTTTTACATATCTACAGATTTACTCCAGTGGGGAATTGTCCATCACACTGTGTAGTTATTCTTTTCAAGAAACATTCTAAGAGATAAATCAACTGGCCAACATTCTCGTGCATCATACCTTCTAACCGTTAACACATATTAAACATGATAGAAATCTTCCCTTTGTGTTAGCCTTCACCCTTTTTTATCTTGTACTAATTTGTGAGTTGTGGTTGAAGTAGAGACTCGGGAAGAAGACTGCCTTCTGTGGGAAAGAGATCTTTGAATTATTCATGCAGCTGAAAGGATTGATAAAATCAAATGAACATTGCGATCATGAAGTAAGGCGGCTGAGTTGGCGTTAATCAGTAACCGTTTAATATTCGTCCTTCAATTAACACATTTGCATTTCTTTACAAGGTAGTAATAAAATTACAAGATATCGTGTATATCCAACATGTTACCTCGTACATATCTCAGTCGAACACCCACTTTCTCTCCATATAGTCCGTTCCCTGTCCTTTCTTTATTCCTAAGTGTCAACATAACGAATATTTCCTCAGGTTATGTAATTCACACATATCACACTTATAGGATGTTGTCAGCCACTTGTGTTCAGTTTAATGTAGGTCACTGAACAGATTCGTATCTAACCAGACTGTATCAGTGATTATAAGTGAATGACTCAATAATAGACGATTGTAACTTGACCTTTTCTGTTATGGTCACTGTTATTACGAAATAAGATTTTTTAAATCAGTCCTACTTTCTCAGTAAATGGAACAACTTACCCTATAGTTTTTGAGTAATTCATCTATCAGTAATTCCCAATTATTGTCAACGTAATGAACTCTATAATATCCAATCTGTCCAATATTGATTATGTACCAGTCATTTGGCATAACGTTGAGCTCCATCTTCAGAGTAGCTTTGAGATGAAGAAAATTAATATAACATTATGTACTCCATATATAATCGGCACTACACCTATAATGACTAAATAAAAAAATACTCCGGCCCAATGAGTAATATTCTTGTGATGAGAGCAGGCTGCTAGCTAAATTGGTAACAGTAATTTACGTCAATATTTATGTCCCAAATATTGGTCGTGAGAAAATATGAACAAAGACTTATTCAACAACCAACCACAGCAGACTTTGCGTAGGCGGATACATTTGATGACATACAGATGATCTGACATTCAAAAAACAGCCACAAAGAGATGAAAGATTAACTTTCAGTGAGAAGCAAGCAATCAGAAGACTGTGTTTGTTTGCTTGAATAATCTATAATAATGTACATGAAAATATATAAATACGTGTTGATTTCCTTAATAAACGATCTGTTGTATGGTGCTTGTCTTCTGTTGTTACATTCTTACATAGCAGTTAGTGTACTGTATGTTGCAACTGAATGCCGCACAGCTTAGAAGACAGTGAAATCGAAATGCATTCAAACAAATGATGTAGACTGGAATCGAATGAATCATAATAATGTTCAAATTGTCATTGTGGATTACGAATACTTGAAATTGGTTTTAGATCATTCCTATCACATGGACAAAGTCTTCGTCCGTCTGGGGATGGTCATTCGTAATTCCGCTTCACTAGACATTCTCCTTTCCACTTTATCTAATCTCCTTATGAATAAAATATTTAACGGAATAGGGGATGCATTTTATCTTGGAACTAGATATCTAATAGTATTGTAACAACAGAAGACAAGCACCATACAACAGATCGTTTATTAAGGAAATCAACACGTATTTATATATTTTCATGTACATTATTATAGATTATTCAAGCAAACAAACACAGTCTTCTGATTGCTTGCTTCTCACTGAAAGTTAGTCTTTCATCTCTTTGTGGCTGTTTTTTGAATGTCAGATCATCTGTATGTCATCAAATGTATCCGCCTACGCAAAGTCTGCTGTGGTTGGTTGTTGAATAAGTCTTTGTTCATATTTTCTCACGACCAATATTTGGGACATAAACATTGACGTAAATTACTGTCCACCAATTTTGACTAACAGCCAACCTTCATCACAGTATAATTGAAAACAGCATAAACAAAGGAACTAAGACTTTCATATTGTATTAATCCCTAAATGTTTTATTTTAGTGTCTATATAAACGCAATCTAATAAAGCGTTTTATCTCCCAAGTAAGAGAAATCTACTCTGATAAATGTCTTAATGAAGAGCTCACTACTAATAAACAACTGATGAGTAAAATCGAATACCCAGAGAAATTCATCGACAACAATATGAATGTGAATTCAAGGCAAGTAAGAGTACAAACAGTCCTTACAAATCCATCTCCTCAATGACGACCCCAGCAATTAATAATAGCGCAGCTTCTGAGTAATGCAGTGAAACGTTCATTCGTTGCCGCTGTCTCTTTATAACCACCCCTATTTTACCTAATTTTGCCTCTTCTGTGTAAATCTATCAATTTGACTGTTCCTGTGGAGTCACTATCATAGGGCGTACAGTTAGGCGTGTTTATCATCGGATTTCCTAACACCATCCTGCGTGGTTAAGCAAAGAAAAACAAGGTCCATTCATAACTCTATTATATATCTCATCTCGTGGATACAGAACACAAAATTGATGTTTACGATGCTCTGAAAGTTATCTACTGTATTCCGACAAACCTTAATTTTATGTCAAGAGTTCTTCTGTTATATATTACTGAAGCCGTCGGAATCTACATTAAGAAGCCATCTTATGAATCCGAAATAATTCAGTTCATATGCTCCCTCTTGCTTTCTTCATCAGTGTTTTAACTATCCTTAATTCCTATGCATTTTCTTAACCTTATACGATATTCTATTTAGTATTACATTTTCAGTGCTCATAATAAATTATGCATCTCCCTTGAACTGTAATTCCATTGATCCTAACAAATCGATATTATTGAAAAAGTATCATTATTATCAGTGACGATTATTATAGAATATATATATATATATGGATCGGACACTAACTGAGGAGACCGCTGGGTGACATCGCGCGCCAAGCCCTCGAGTGGAACCCGAAAGGGAAGCGGCGTGTGGGACGTCCAAGCGTGACATGGAGGAGATCGTGTGAAGAGGAGTTGAAAGAAGATGGATTAACATGGAGGCAGGCGAAAAGTATAGCAGAAGACATAAGAAAATGGAGACGTGCAGTTGAAGCCCTATGTTCCACTAGGAACCCAAGGGAGCAATAATAATAATATATGTAATTATAGAGACATGAGTTCCTTCAAGGTTTCAGATACGCCTTCCTGACTGATGGGTGTCAACTAGCACGAAACCTAGGTCAAGTAAGGCTTCCTGTTGCCGATTACCTCCAACCAACTAATATCAACAATTCAAAGTGCTCAATGATGGCGAGCCACCTAGTAGCATGTTGGCCCTATTGCAAACTTGACTGATAGAATTCAGACTGCACCAAACAAAGGACTGGACACATGACACCAGTTACTAAGTGGTGTATTAAAAAGGAAATTTATTCCCTTGAACTTTTCTCTGTCTTCTAAATTTCTGAATACGAACTCTAGTTGTAGTAAAACTGTGTGAATTAATGATTCAATCGGCGTATTTTTCAACTATATGGGTCACAAATGAAGGTATCGAAGACAGTATCAGAAAAACATGACAGGTGTTCATTACTTTGAAATCAATTTGAAGATTCACACACACAAATAAACACTCAGCACAAAAATACGACATCTGGATTTTTAACACCACTGTCAAGTCAGCGCTTTTATGTGGTCCAGTGATTGGTGCGTCACCACAGGTATCTCCAACATGTCACTTTAAACCTTCATCAACACCTGCCTCCACTCGACAATGAAGACCAGACAGATAGCCAGAAAGAATAAGCATCAACAATCTCTTTGAGGGAGGCAAATAACCAAGAACCTACTGTCCAAGAAATATTCAGGAAGAAATGCAGGTGAATTGAACGTACACCGAAGAAGGATTCATTGATGTCACATACCAGGACGTGGAGTGGGATTCGACTACAAAGTGACGAATAGGTGGGTGGATAGGTAGGTAGGTAGGTGATGGATTGTTTTATTGAACTTGTGACCATTACAAGTATTAATATAGCATACAGCATACAGCACTACTTACCGTTGTTCATCCATATGATTTCATTCGCTGACCCATCCTTTGTCGTGTAAGTAATGGGGATTTTCCAAGTGAAACTAAGTAAACAAAATTTCAAATAAATGACACCAAAAAATTTTTTCGTTTTTCTACCAGATGTGAAAGCAAAAATGATTGTGAAATATGCTATACATTCTCTTCTGTTTTATAAAGATTGACGATTCATTTGAAATTCAACTATGTAGCACTTCACATGTTTATAAACGAGGATTTTCGACAGGATTCTTCCATTTCCGTATATGGAGAAGTGACCGGACGTAAAAACTGATAAGTGGATTTTAGCCAGAACAAAATTTAACTGCATCTTTTAAATATGAAGCAAAGAAATCCAGGGTTTTAACAACTGCCAACTAATCAATTAGAATTCATGGGTCATGTGATCGGTTCCGACTGTTTTAATGGTCTACGAGCTCGCCTTCTAACCAGAACCTCCTGGGTCCGAACCCTGACTGGTGCATACTGCTGATGGTTGACTGTTGATAGATAGATAGAAGGAATTAATTACCTTGTGATAGATAACAGAGAGTCATATATTATAAGAATGGGTAGCTGATAAAGAACTAAAAAGTTGATGAACACAACTTTATATGAAGTCGACCATCTGTGAGTTATTGGCTTCATAGTACACCGATGAATACGCAGTGGTTCAATTCACCTAACAAGCAGCATAATTTCGGCTTATTTCTGTACTCCCATTTACAATATTAGAACAAGACATATAAGCGAACAATATTGTTTTCAATTAGATCTTCTTCAGGCTTTACTCTAATTTACATAGACTTATTTATATATATGAAATTTTAACCAATGACGGTGATTTTGTGGATCAAATAATAATAATCATAATAATAATACTAATGTGGTAAATGTTTTGAACGGAGTTAATAACGATGATTATAATATTCCCAGTGGGTGCGTACTGCCGATGATTCCCAAACTAGGGTGAAACAGCAGCTGTCCAGTACTCCCTGGTTTTCAATGGTTCTCTAACTGATATCAATCCGTGATCAACCCGTAAAACATAACTAATCCTTACAAACCAAACTATAGAAAGTTGATCTGATGCTCGCTAGTGACTTGCTACAGGTTGGAGTTTCCTGAGTTCTAGTGAGAAGTCGTGACCAGTGAGGTCCAATTAGATGTCACGTGTGTGGATGGATGTCCCACCAACGACAATGGTTGGGGTCGCGCTAAATCACGTATTAGTAGAAGTTAGAATTCACGAGCCATTGAATTGGGTCCCAGTGGCTGAATGGTATACGAGCTTGCCTAGTAACCGGAAGGTCCCGGGTTCGAATCCCAGTGGGTGCGTACTGCCGATGATTCCCAAACTAGGGTGAAACAGCAGCTGTCCAGTACTCCCTGGTTTTCAATGGTTCTCTAACTGATATCAATCCGTGATCAACCCGTAAAACATAACTAATCCTTACAAACCAAACTATAGAAAGTTGATCTGATGCTCGCTAGTGACTTGCTACAGGTTGGAGTTTCCTGAGTTCTAGTGAGAAGTCGTGACCAGTGAGGTCCAATTAGATGTCACGTGTGTGGATGGATGTCCACCAACGACAATGGTTGGGGTCGCGCTAAATCACGTATTAGTAGAAGTTAGAATTCACGAGCCATTGAATTGGTCCAGTGGCTGAATGGTATACGAGCTTGCCTTGTAACAATCCCAGTGGGTGCGTACTGCCGATGATTCCCAAACTAGTGAAACAGCAGCTGTCCAGTACTCCTGGTTTTCAATGGTTCTTAACTGATATCAATCCGTGATCAACCCGTAGATTATAATAATAACAAAATATCGATAATAAGGCTTATACAGGTGATAAGAATAACAAAGTTAGTATATGCATATATGTAGACAATTCAATAAATAAATAAATTAGGTCAAATCAAATGGAACGATAATCAGAGTTTAAATAAATATCATAAAAGTACGAAGGAGAGGGATGATAAGAAAGGGTGGGAGGGTTTTGAATAGAATTGACCTAGGCCAAGGGAGAGAAAAAGGTAGAACAAATTTCTTTTGTATACAAAGACTAGTAAGGTTCTCTCGAATTCCCAAAGCTTTGGCTAAGTGTAAAAGACGGGTTCTGATTCCGTTGGAAAGACTCGATGGAATGCGGTAAATAACTTTGAAAGCACTATTTTTGTCCACTTGGTGACCACTATCAATCAAATGAGCCAAAATAGAACTACGTATGGATTTTATTTGACCTTTTCCGAACCATGAAGGACGATGCTCATTAATGTGTTTGTTAAGCTGTCTAGTTGTTCGGCCTATATAGCTTTCTCCACAGGAGCAACTAAATTTATAGATACACATGGAAGTGGCACAACTAGGTAGCTTATCTTTCACTTTAGCAATCAAAATTGGTCGGCTGGAAAATGACAAACAGAGGGTGGCGGCAGTATAAGTCCGTTTTATCGCTCTCGATAATCTCTGATGTAAGACTTCACTAGCCACGTCCCCATTAAATTGCAGTTTCACGGACAGTTGTTTCTTTTTAATTGTTGTCGGTTTTACTTTATTGTACTTGGCATTCATGTGTCTTCTGACAAATCTACTAGGATAACCCATTTGGACTAACGTATTTTGGATGTATCCTAGCTCATTCTCTAGGGAGTCATCTGTACAGATGCATCTTGCTCTATTCGTCAGGCATCTCACCAAATTGATCTTGTATCGGATTGGTACATAACTGAGGAAATGTGTATATTGTCCTATAGATGTAGGTTTTCTATAGACATCTGTCTTGAGTGAACCATCCTCTCTTCTGCTCAACTGGACGTCAAGAAAATGTAGTCCACCATCATATTCTTCTTCACAAGTGAAGATAAGCGATGGATGTGCATCATTAAACTTTTTTAACATTTCATTCTTGTCAGCTTTCACATCAAGAATGATAAAGGTATCATCAACATAACGAAAATAAGAATCAGCTTTTTCTATTACTTTTTTCAATGGACCATTTTCAATCTTGGCAAGAAAGAAATCTGCTAAAATTGGCCCCAATGGCAAACCCATGGCAATACCGTCGATTTGCCTGTAGTAAAGGTTGTTGAATATGAAATGTACATTTATAGTACATCTTAAAAGCAACTCTTTCAGACTACTAACCGGTATTCCGATGTCGATCTGTTTTTCTAGTATCTGTTGGCATATGAATTCCACAGTCTCCATAAGTGGTACATTGGTAAACAGTGATGCTACATCTAAGGAAAGCATTTGCTTCCCATTTACATTAATATCATCCACGTTAGCAATAAATTCAAAAACGTCTTTAACACTATGACTTACTACCATCTTGTGTAATGGTTGGAGGAGTTCACCTAACCACATTAGTATTATTATTATTTGATCATTGGTTAAAATTTTATATATATATATATATATATATATATATATATATATATATATATAAGTCTATCTAAATTAGAGTAAAGCCTGAAGAAGATGTAATTGAAAACAACAATATTGTTCGCTTATATGTCTTGTTCTAATATTATTTCTGTACTACACACGATTTCGTCAAGTAAATGAGATGAATCTGTTTACCTTTGAGACAGATAACTCGATACTCGGTAAATTACCCAAAATGGTACGTTCAATTTGATATGATATTCACTGCCCATCAGATTACCACACCTAATTTTTGCTTCTTCCAGCCAGTCTGATCCATTCTGATGAGCATTTAAGAATTGCGACTTACATCTTCATACTACAATTTTCATGTAGAGCATTCCAAGCTTCATATTTCTTCAAATGAACTATTCAAATGACCGGTAAATTAATATTGAATAATTTGGCTTTAGAAGAAGTCTTCTCCATTCATTATATATCTGAGTGTGCATATCATAAGGAACTGTTCTTCTGTTACACAGTTATGCAACAAAACAAACATCTGCTAGTGCAAATGTTTGACTGCAGAGTAGTAGGAGTACTTTTCACTCTTCTAAATAATCCCTCATCAAAGTGCAAAGTTTTTTCTCTATTTCAAACTATTTCTGAAAGGTGACAGAACCCTCCCATTTCCCATTTACTGCAAACTAACCAAACTTCGTTTTCACATGCCATTTATGGGAGATTCATAAGCAGTGATAGCTTTGAATTCATTCGAAGAGTACAAGGACAGGACACATTTTCACAGCTTCGTTCCTCTCAAGTACAAAAGAAATTAATTAATGACCCTCAGCCACAGGATTAGAGTTATATGCTCAGAAGAGGTAACTGAAGATGAAAGAAGGATTGTATATGATACCTTGATTGAAAATAGCTATCCAGACAAACTCATCAGCAAAGACATTACCAAGAAAGCAGAAAAGGACTATTCTCCATCTGTAAATAAGAAGCCTGAATACAAACGACTGGAATTCAAGGGCGATCAACCTAGCGAAATAATTACGAAGAAGTTCAGAAAATCAGTTTAAAGAACTTTTAATTCTGGCAAATTACCAGTCTTACTTTCTACACGACCGGTGGTCATTCCTCGATTGAAAGATGAAGTACCTAGACTAGCCACTTCTAACTGCATCTACCAATTTAACTGCGCTTATATCGGCCGTTACTCTAGGAACTTGATTTTTCGTGACCGCCAGGAAATATCTACCAGTTTGGCCAAATAAAGGTGTAGGAACAGTTCGATATTAGACCACCTGGTTCGAACCGGCCATAAAGCAATCATTGAAGAATCCTTATCTATCATTCACTGGCTGCCAGATAAATTGCCAAAAACATCGAAGTACCACATGCTCCAAACAGCAGAGACTATCGCGATTCTCCTGAAACAACCTGTGCTTTGTGCTCAGAAGAAACAGGTCCAGCTAGCCACTACTACTGCCCTATCCGGCCTTCAGTAAAGACTATTAATTCATGAATTTGTAGTACTATTATTTTTCCTAATTTAACTGATATTCAGTGTATTGTTATGTCGTTGATGCTATCAAACTGTAATCAACTGATATAATTATTGTTATTGATTCGATGTTCTTTCAACATTATTGTTGTTAATAGCACTAATTCATTCACTATTATCTATATATAACTGTAGAACCTGATGAAAAGGAGGTTGTCGAAAGGAGTATACTTTGAAAATTTTAATGGACATTTTTAATCAGTTAGAATATTTTGCTGTGAATCAGCAAATTATAGAAGAATTTCAAATGTTACATCCCTTTACTAAATCATGAATTCTTGAAAGGCACTTCCTATCCTTCCTATAGCTGTCTACAAATCGGGATAAAATGTTACATAAAATGGAACAAGGCACCATCATCTATTTGGCGAGATGGAAGAAATTGATGAAAAACACTCCACTCACTTGTATGGGGATGGCGAAAGAGTATCATTAGACGACTCATAGAAATGAATCTGTTTGAAATCGAAGGTGTTGGAATCACTTCGGTTAACAATCAAAATTGGATAATTCATTTGCTTTGTCCAAGTATCCATGATTGATTTGATGTCGATGTCTTTATTGACACTTTTGACCGCCTAAAATTTCAAAACTAGATCCCATTACATTTGAACTGTACACGTATTTTTAATCATAAGAGCCTAATGCAGCATAGTATTTAAGAAAATGGTTACTTTCAGCGTGTTCATTGGAATTGTATTTTATGAGTGAATTCCAAACAGTTCCTAGGGTAGCTTACCTCTTTCTGATATCAAAGTAGTATAACACCAATAAATAGAAATAATCGCCGAATAATTGATTTGCCAACCTACACTTCAATTCTTGATTTAATTGAGATAGGACAGAAAATGCGAATAACTCTAAATTTAGTGAAATGAAACACCTTTTGGATGTAGTGTTAATCACTGCAGTCACATCTCACACATTACTGACATATTAATTCAAGTATTCATGGATTATAATTCATGACTATGTTACCACAATCTAGTTTTACTCTAAGCATGAAAGCGAATATGATATCTAAACGTAATCCTCTAATTTCCATTCTGGTGTCTCACGATCGACTACTTTTTTGAGGAGACTTTCACTAGCATAAAATACACCACGAACCATTAATTGCTCAAATAGAAATACGTTCCACAATAGTTTGATGGTGACTGGCATATAAATTCATGGAATGGATATCATCTTATTATTCAACGCTTCAGTTGAATGTAGGCGGTGCGCTTCCATCGGAACGATGGGCTACAAATAGAATGAAATGCTCATCTTCGACTCCCCTGGTAGGCTGCTCTAATTTAGGCATGATCGACTAAATCTCATGCATCTATATTATCAGATTTATTGATAAATAGTTCATCCCTGATCCAGACAATGCAAGAGATCTCTAATGAAGTAAAAGTTCGATCCAGATATTCGTTTCAGTTGATTCTTATGTATGTGGATACATTAATCTTACGTGAATTCCATTAAATTGTATATGACAGACAGCTGTTCTAGCTTGTTCTGCGCACTGCAAAGTTTAACTGTGCCCACAAAAGCTGCAACAATCTGGTACTATGATGATGATTAATTATGAGGAACAAATCCACTAAATTATGAAAACAGTAACCACTATCATCCTTAGTAACTTTCTATAAGTTTCTCTGTATGAGTTACTTTTGCCTATACACCTCGTCATTTTATGAATAACTTCAACCGGATAAGGCTGGATTCAGGAGGAACAAGTCATGCATCGATCAAATCGCAACACTACGATTATCATTGAAAAGAGCTTGGAATGACAGTCAGCTCTCTATCTCACTCAACTTCATTGACTTTGAGAAGGCCTTCGACAGCGTCGATCGAGAGGTAATTTGGAAGCTACTTCGCTACTGTAGAGTACCGCCAACAATTATACACCTCGTCCAACACTTGCACGACAATGCTGCATGACAAGTAATCCACAATGAGAAACTTACGGAATCCTTCGAAGTGAGGACGGGAGTAAGACAAGCTGACTAGCTGCCTTCTATCTCCAATGGTTGCCCTGATTTCGGTAGACTGAATAAGAGACAGATTCACAGAGGACAACGAGAAGACAAGCATAAAATGGACCCACACAAAAAACTCGGGGATTTCGACTTCGGCGATAATATATGTCTGATTTCCTACAAACTGGAAGATTTACAAGTGAAAAACAACAAGTTGACAGAAGAAGCATCAAAGATAGGAGGGACTTCAGGCGAACATAGAGAAAACAGAGGTGATGAAGATTTGTGACCGACAGCAACAGAAACAACAACAGACAACAATCAGCCGGCACTATTGGGAGAAATCCTACCTACCTGGGAAGCATCGTCGTTTCAACTACAGGCAGATGGAACTGATGAGGATATCAAAGCGAAAATCGGTAAAGCAAGGCAGGCCTTCATTTCTCAAAAGTTTGTGTGGAGATCAACAACACTCAGCATGAAAAATTCGATCCAGATTTTCAACTTCAGTGTGAATTCAGTGCTATCATACAGATCAGAGACTTGGCGCCACGTCGCGTCACGAAAAACACTTTGAACAAACTACACACCCTCATCAACAGCTGTCTTCTCTCAATACTACTCAAGATCAGATGGCCGGCCAGAAAAGATCAGCAACAGAGAGGGATTTCTGGCAATGAGCGAACCAACCCAGCCGGAATCATTGTGCGTCAAATAAGCAGGAAGAAATGAAGGTGGATTGGCTGACCATATTCTGACAAGACAAACCATCAAGTGACATCACACGCCAGGTCATCGCTCTGGTTGAACCCGAGTGGGAAGCGGCGAGTTGGGCATCGGTGACAGGGTGACATGGAGGAGAGGTCGTGCGAAGAGGAAATGAAAGCATGTGGGCAGACGTGGAGCCAGGTGAAAACGTTGGCAGAGAACCGAACGCAATGGAAACATGCGTCTGAAGCCCTATGTTCCTCTAGGAACTAAAGGAAACAATAATAATGATTATTATGATTGAAGAAAATCACCATGACCTGTTAACAACATGAAAGTCTGTTGTATCACCAGAAAATACATTACTCATCAAAATATCAAAACATTTACTGTAAGTTGTTAGTTATTTGAAAGCAGAGACTTACACGATCCAACGCCTTCCATAGATCTTCCGCGTCCGTATTTTTATATTTGTTTTCTTGTAAGTAGATCTTGTGGAAATAAAGAAAAGTGACATTGTGAATATTAACCAACCTGAAGTTGTAACATGTAAATGCAGTTTTCCTAATGCTGCTTTTGACTACTGACTTCCACTTAGGCTCATATGAAGTAGATGCCATCTAAGGCACCTGTAAAAATGAAAGATGCTACTCACAACTAGTCACTACTAACTATTTAATATTATCATATACTCATTCTACAGTTCTCATACTTGTAGAGTCTCACATACGCCACTTTCATATATCTCTCCCTGAAAAACCACATTCTTTTCAACTAAACTCAATTTAACTAAATCACCTGTTGTGTAATGTTTATCAATTAAATATTTATGAATGACCGCCATCAGAGAATCAATTAAAACAAGACAAGTGGTCGATTCAAATCTGTAGGTCTGCCTAACAATCAACCCCTTTAAGTCGAGAATAAAATTTAGGTTACCTGAAGGTGAATCAGTGAAGGGAACTGTCCACTTTGCAAAGCGCATTTGCAGATGTCTGATACTTTTGAAAAATAAGACGCCTAGCTGGTTTGTTTACAAACTACCAGTGATGACAGAAAACTACACGTAGAGTGATGATTTTATATGAAAATTCACGGAAATAGATAAAGCTGACGAAGTTGTCGAGTGATGCTCGCATCTACTACTCGATTAGTACAAAACAGTATGCAGAGTTAAAAAGATACACTTTGGCCAAATATAAAGCACCTCAACTACGTCCAGTTTTCAAACGCATAAGAAACAAATGCTTTTTGTGTAAGGAATCGAAACGTAACTCACCTTCAAGCCATTTAAGAAGACATCATCTCCAAGAAATGACTTCATCATCCGGATTAACGAAGCACCCTGTAAATTGGTAAAGCATAGAAGACTGTAATTCATGAAATATTGTGCACACAAACAGTATGTCTAAAGCCTTGCTCGTTTATTTTAACACCACAGAATACACCAGTTCAAACCCTTACACCATTATATAAACTGATTTTATTGTTGTGAAAAGAAATATTACGTAATCACATATCGAGTATGACACGAGGTATGACACGATCAACTTACTGCGGCACTCTAACAAATAGCCCCATTGGATTTTGTTTTCCTTTCCTCGTTACTATTACACTGTTTTCCTCATCTTCTATCATACATCAACTTTATATTTCATATCCTGTGGTGCATTGTTTGAAATGTAAACGCTACGCTGTTTTTTTATATATATCTTTTTTGGCTTTGGTTTTTTTATTTATTTCTTTATTCATTTATTTTTTATTTTAAAAATCTTATAAAATTTATTAGGTAATTAGATGCAATATATTGTAATGCACGCTAAAAATTCCATACCTGTATCACAAATACCGTTTGGAATAAAGCTGTTATTATTATTATTATTATTAAACACTCCGATTTCATTTTTTTATTTATATCGCAGCATCTGCAGTGCAAATGCACCTGAGAAGGCATTTGTGATACGCCACTTTGGCGAAATAAACAATCCCACAAGCCTATAATCAATTTAAAGTCTCGTTAGTGGGACTTATGTGTTCCGGAAATTCCCCATATTTCACATTTTGTAAACATTATAAATCCAATACTCTCCCAATTCAAACAATAAAGCAGTCCACTCTTGTTGAATTGATCCGGTGCTGTTTCCCACCTTTCAGGCTTCTGGTTACCAGATATCAACTTAACAAACTCTTGTATTCCTCCTGACAACCGCATCATGAGACAGAACGAAGTCGTATAGACTGCTAACATCATCATGCATAAAATGCCACACACAAACACACACTGCATTGAAACACTTCCAGGAAAATGACTTCTTCTGCATACATCATAGATAAAGTGTCATTCGGCTTTCATCAGTTCGCTTACCCCTCATGTTTCCTCCTCATATATCAGGTGTGTTCTGTTAGAAACTGTACTGCCTGAATATCAGTGCAGTCCACTTTTGAAGCTCGTCCGTATTACACTACTTATAATTGAAAAGTTCACATGTTGGGAAGTAAATTTTACAGCCCCTCTGATATTTGTTCGATTGAGCCTATGACTCTAAAATAGCAATTTCTTATCGAATGAAAATCCCCGACGAAATACATGCAGTTTTAAGTCTGTTAACTAGATCCAGCACAACTAAATCCGGACTAACCGTTTAAGATCAAAGTGAGATTGAAAATTATTAAAATTCCACCTCCATATAGAAACTTTGAGTTTTTTTGTCACTTTATATGCAAGTGGTCATTGTTTCTTTGACTTTTCTGGTTGTATAGTTGAGCATTTAATATTGGTATCAATTTCTCTTCTAATAGAAAGAACTGATGGTAGAGAGGATTGCTAATCATTTACAACCATGTGATGATAGCTGTTTCTCTGATTACGTGTTATCCTCTGAATAACCGACTTTCAAGCGGTCACAATACATCAGACACTAACATTTACAATTTAATCAGACTATACAATTACGCTTTACCTCTATCTATTTTATAAAAAAACGCTTTTAAAAAAGCGCCAACCATAGCCATTGTCAAACTAACCTTACTGTATGTTATTGGATCAAAAATGTCCTCGATCTCGTCTGGAGATTTAGCTGAATTAATAACAGGATGAGATTTGATGGAGGCATCTGAGATCATTGCTCTTTGCAAATCGGTAAATATGAATCGTTCATCCTGTTTGGCATAAAAGAAATTGTATTAATTATAGTTTGGTGGTGGAAATATCAAATGACAGTTTCAATCTAATTGACAAGACAAACAGCCCAATTCTTAATTTCAGGTTAAAGTTTCACCTCTCATTAATTGACTGTGTTGCAGAGAAACTATTCGGTCTCTTCTCACGTTGTTGACCCATGTTACAGACGCTTCGGCGATACCCGAGGATTAATGTGATGTGATGTGATTTCAGTTGTGAAATGCAGGATGCACATCTCACTCTAGTGAAGACTCTTCAGCTGAGTGTACATCATCGATCAGTCCAAACAGCATAAAAATGACATGTTGGATTCCCTGACCAGTCAGTTTCAAACGCAATCACATAGCTAGACATATTTCAAACTCTGGTAAGAATACGTCGACTTTCGCATGGAAGATGTTAATTCATACAAACTATTCCAACATATCATGGCTCATCGATTAATCAATCAAAAATTACCTCATATCACCGTCAAGCGAGTCTTTCAGTAGTCACAGATACTTACAAAAATAAGAAAATACAAAATAATTAAGATAAAGCAGCGACCTACGTATTTCCAATGTGGTTGAACAAAGTCTGTACCAGTGTATTCAAGAAAACTTGCAAAACCTTCATTTAACCAGAGGTTGTTCCACCACTTCATCGTCACTAAGTCACCAAACCACTAAAATTTGAAAACAGAAAGAATGTAAAATGCTGTTGTTCACTCACGCCAAAATAAATCTTTTTTATTTTTCCCTATCTAATGTGAAAGTTAGTCATAGTCACCTTCCTGCAGTGTATATGTATATGTGGTGAGAGCTGTCTGCAAGCCACAAAAATTGTAGACAACAACAACTGACGTCAATGTTCACCTCCCAAATCGGGGTCATGAGAGAAAGCAAGAACAAAGCTTAACCTTGAGGAACTCAACAACCAATCACAGCAGACTTGGCGTAAATGGATACGATTCACAGATATATCACCGGACTGTCTAAGAAACGGCAACACAAACGGAGATGACAGAATAATCTTCATCAGGAAAACAACCAATCAGAAGACGTTTCTCCTCTGCTAACATTAACGTTAATAATAATGTTCATAAAAATCTATAAATATCTGTTGATTTTCTCAATGAACGATCTGTTGCCTCACCCTTGTCTTCTATCGCTCTGTATATACTACTAATTAGATTAAAGAGAGGCTTGCAGTGAGAAGTATTTCCAATCAAGGGGCAAATGAATAAAACTTCAGATGGCAGTAAGTTTTCACACGCCCATCTGTCTTTTATCCACATAGAACTTTGTACCGATGTGCGGCTGTTCAAGTCGCCACTCTCCATGTAGCCCACAAAGCAAGAGAGGAAAGTAGAGGAAATGCATTATAGAGACAGTAAACAGATGCGTAGGACAAAAGAATAGTGATAACGAAGAACAATATAGTTTCATTGGAAAGTACAAGTCACAAGGAGTGGATGCATCTGTGCCAACCAATGAGAACGATTTTGAACCATATCACCAATTGTTTCCAACCATTGATTTTTACCGTTCTGAGGACCCCAAACAGGAAGTCTACACCTTCCTACGTGGCTGGCTTAAACTAACTGTTGTGGATTTCATTGACTCGTGCCATGTTTTCGCCTGACCGCCGATAGCTGTTTTCTAGTCTGACCCTATGTCAGCTAACATTGCCCACTGTCAAGAAGATGATGACTAGGCATACGTAAAACATGTCCAACCATCTCGCTCAATCGGTGTAACTTTACAGCCTCGTCGATTAATTTCCCCTCCTTACCTAGCACTTGACCGATGCCTAACCTCAATATTGCTCACCTTATTATACCACTTCACACGGGAAATAGAGCGCAGGCACCTATGATCGAAGACCACTAATCTTTTCATGTCTCCCCTTTTCAATGTCCAGGTCTAACAGCCATAAAGGAGGACGGAATGGAATGCTGAGCAGTACACCGATAGTCGGATATCACGACTACGAAAGAGACAACGTCGAAATGGTTTAGGTTCATTCACTACATTACTCGTGGTTGATTTAAGTAGTTTCAAAACATCAAGAATAAACACTGGTGATTCGTCACCAAAACAGAACCGATTAATTTGTTTAGATTAATTCACCTATGCTAACAAGCATTCAGTGACCAATGAGAATGACTACTTATTACTTAATTAAATCAGTAGTATATATATGTCGTGTAGGATTTCATCGATGCTACATTGAAACAAACAGCACTAGAGTAGACCATAGTTATACATACACAGCAGAAAAATACAATTTAATCAATTTGAAATTGTCATTACTTGATGAGCCAATTCATGAATAATAACAACTGTCACCCATTCCTTCGATGCAGCTGAACCAGTATACGGATCCCACAACAGTGAACTTTCTATAAATGTTATTAGACCCCAGTTTTCCATTGCGTGAGCCTTAAAGTTGGGAAGTGCAACCATATCTAAATTCAAATACAAACGGAAAAAAACAATTTTAAGTAATCTTCTCAGTCCACAATCTTTATTTCATTATTCTGAAGGTAATTTTAGGGAACCACGCTGCCTAATTATTTCTGTAGTTATCCTGATCATAGGTGTTGCAAATTTCCTAGAAGAATTTAGGCGCCGAGTGTGATTCATTCATCATACGACTCGTTTGAAATAATCCTAGGATATTTGGAAAATCAAAAAATGATCTTTCCAAAAGCTTTTCTATATTGGTGGCATAATAATATTTGTGTAAAACTTGACCATTGTGGCAGTAAGTAATTTCATATTAGTTTGTTTATTAGATGTATCACACAGTCAGTGAAACAGTATTATTTACTGGATGACACAGTTTCGAACACAAATTATTGTTCAAAATCATCTATCAATTATAATCACACGACTTCGAAACCTGAGTTTTATAGTTTTCTTTATTCTCTCCTATTTGTCGTCGTGCTGGTAGTAGAATTTTCCAGATGAACAGATGGACAGATGTTGAACCATTCCTACTACACGTATTTCCAGTTGGTTCGATAAACAAAGCCTCAGTCACTTATCAATCTCTCCCTCCACCCAGCTGTTACATTAGATTTTAAAACTGTCATCCTATCCCATCCATCGTCTTGTATGGTTGTGTATGCGTAATTGCATGTAGGGAGTGCTATAGCTGAACTCTTCTCTAGATTTCTTATCTTATTTGGGTCAGCCAATCTATATTTTGCTGCTAGGGTTTTCATGTTTGACTAGTCTGACTCCTGCAGTTCTACTAGTTATGAGTTGGTGGCACAGTGGTTAGGACTCTCGCCGACCATGCACATGGTCCGGGGTTCGATCCTCTGCCGACGCACACCTGATATCTATGGTCGGCCTGCAAAATTTGGGCTACCGATATCGCATGCTGAAAATTCCATACTTGAACCAAAAAATAGTGTGTGGAATCAAGCTGTAATAAAAAATAGAAAAATGATAGTTAGACCTATGTATTTGACCTGACAATCATTGCAAGCAGGGTATTAGATAAACTAAATTGTTTTGTTTTATTGGCTCCACTGGCAGGATCCTTTAACCGACAAGGCTTATTGGTTTTGAATGCCAGCCACATTTATTCCTGCCTTGTTAAGAATTTTGCGTAAGATTTCCGAGGTTCCTTTCCTGTATAGAATTACCACTGGTGATTTAGATTCCTTATTGTTGGTGTTATCATCATCTTGTTCATGTTTGACATGCGTGTCGTCAATAACATTATTATTACGACTGTTATCATTAATATTATTATCAATATCACTATCACTATATGTTAGATGTTAGTCAAGGTGATTTAAAACTGACGGTATAACGGAGGAGTTCCTAAGTTATTCAAATATATCAGAATAAAACTGTTCAAGCTCTAGCTCGCCCACAATTCTATCTGCTTGAACGGCTTTACAACATGTCTTATGCTATCAGCCGTCCATTAACAGGAAATTTGTGACGATGGCTTTTTAGTCTCTGGTACTTACACGTAAGAAGTATATGCAACGCACAGCATATTCTCACTGTGAATAATACTAGTGGAGGTCAATGCCGACTTTATGGAATTTATTATTCGTCTGAATAAGCTATAACTGATACTGTGATGTACATGAATTAGTCTGTATTCAGTGATCCAGTGTAGTAAGTTGGTTGGAGGATTTCAACATGAGTTGACATCAGTTAGAGTAGAGTATCATTAGAAAATGAGCTGGGAGTACTGGACAGAGTCCCAAACTAGCCTGACAAAACAGCCAGCTCTCGAGTACTACCAGCTTGTTTTCCAGTGGTTCTCTAAATGAAGTCAGCTCGTGATGAAATCCTCCAAGCAATCAAACAAAACTCCATACAAAACCAATACTTGACAAGGTAGTAAGTCTTTTTAGCCAGCCCTGCAAAAAGTCGTTGCAACACCAATCAATTTATTCGACTCAAACTAAATTCAAGGGGTGTTTCTCCACAATCAGTTCATTGTTCTCACCAGATTTCGTCAACATACCACTATAATGATTCTTTACACTTTATTAAAAGAGGCGTCTGTTGGTGGTGCAGTGGCAAATTACTCGCCAACCACATCAAAAGTGATCCAGGTTAGAACCACGATCGATGCACCGTTTCACGTCTCATAACCGATAATAGTCCCGGTAAAGAGGGAATGCTGGGTGTGAGGCTGGAAACCTTACCCTCCAAAAAATCAACAACACTCCAGAGTTGAAGCCCTATTTATGCCCCACTAGAAATGCAAAGGACTGAAATAATACAATCAATAAGTAAATCAATAAATCGGAAGGTGTATCTGATGACAATGAAGTGGAAGATATGTTACTCAGCCAATTTCAGAATGATCCCCTCATCCATCCAGGGATGAATGAAAAGAAAACAACAAAATTCTAGAAAATACTTACCCATTTTTGGAAGTGGGTAAGGAACTCCAAAGTAATCTTCAAAGTATGTAAGAATTCTTCTACCGATATCCAAAGCATACCTGGCTGATTCAATTTTCTCTGGTCTTGCCCAAACAGTAAACTGATTAAATGTAAAAGATAATGAACAATGCTTTGTATATCATTCAACTTGAGATGTATTAAAAAAACACATTCAGAAATTTTTATAAAGAAAAATCTTCAAGCCTGAAATCATTCGAGATACCTTTACTCGTAATTGTACAGTTCACGTCTACATTGTAACAAATGAACATGAGTGAAACGCCATTATTCTGAATATAATCGCAATTTATTTGGCCAACTGTATATTCAAGGGATATGACCACTTGTGTCAAGTGATCCATAACGGAAAACTCAGCGAGGCCTTCGAAGTGCATACAGGAGTAGACAAGCTGGCTGCCTGCCTATTACCACCGATGATATTCTTAATTGTGGTGGACTGGATTATGCGTCAGACTGTTGGCGTCGAGGAGTCAGGAATACGCTGGACGACCGATAAGAAGGCTCTAGACGACCTGGATTTCGGAGATGATATAAGTCTAATATCACACAAACTCGAAGACATGCAAGCGAAAACCAATAAACTGACTGAAGAGTCTGGTGGAGAAAACAAGATCGCAGGCAAACACAGAGAATATGGAAGTGATGAGGATAACTAACGGACCGCAACGACAACGGCAACAACCAGCACTAACCACCATCAACGGAGAGATTTAACAGAGGTTACCTACTTCACTTATCTGGGAAGCATCGTTTCAACTACAGGCAGAACAGATTAACGTGTCACAGCTAGCCAGCCAGAATCGGAAAGGCGAAATACGCCTTCATCAGCCTGAGAATAGTTTGGAAATCTTCTGCAATCAGCATAAGGAACAAGATTTGCATTTCTAACACTATTGTCAAGTCGATCAAATGGGTGGGCAGAAAGAATTAATAACAAGAAACTCCGTCTGGGAACAAATCAGCCAAGAACCGATCACTCAACAAATATGTAGGAGAAAATGGAGGTAGATCGATTGGTCATAAATTAAGAGGCCGCCGAATGACATCGTACACCAACCAGTTCACTGCTCGAGTGGAATGCAAATAAGAAGCGACGAGTGGGTCGTCATTGCGAGGGTGACATGAAAGAGACCGCGTGAGGAAGAGATGAGGGGTTATAGGCAATCGTGGATCCATCTGAAGATGACGTCAGAAAACGGAACGAAGTGGAGATCTGCTGTTGAAGCCCTATGTTCCACTCACAACGCAAGTGGATAATCATAATATAAGAATAATAATAACCATTTGTGAGACAATCTCTATACTTTGAGGTAGTTGATGAAAGTTGAAACTGTTACTTTGTAACATTACGCCTACATGAATCTACAAAGACTCAAATAGTCTCATCACAATTGAATTCTAAGAACATAAATTAGTGAGACAGTTGAATATTACAGGACAAAGAAATGACCTGTCTATAAAGTAACCAAGATATTTACTGATAGGCAGAAACCAGATGTGTGGATTTGTGATAAATACATACGATGAGTCAATTTATCCTGACACGGTTACTTTCCCTAGCTGCATACTGAAGATTAAATATCGAGAAAGAATTCGAAAGAAGGAACTCCAGGAACGAGCCAACCAGAAACTGTCACCCAACAAGTAATGCAAAATAAGACAGATGGATCGAACACACTCTGCAAAGACTGATGAGCGACATCACACGCCAAACAGGCCATCTCTCAAGTGGAAGGTGAATAGGAAACGACTAGGTAGGCACGAGTCTGAGGGTGACATTTCTTAAGTGCATGAGATATTGTAATCATTTAAAAGTTACTTGATACTTCTCTGTGGAAACACATTCTTCCACTATTATATGTTGTTCTGAAAGGAAATTCATGGAGGATATACTGATCTGTTAGCGTTTAACAACACAGTATTTAGCCTAACGTTGCTTTTTATATGTCTTCAGAGATTTTTACATAAAGCCTCTTAGTTGATGAAATATCCTTCTGTTTTCAGGAATTTCAGACACCTCTCACCTTACGGTAACATTGTCATTTCCGTTCACACGTAGTCATACGTTTACATTACATGTTTAACTTTCGTTAACAATTTAATACTATACAAACACAGAACTGTAGTTATCCGCCCGTATAACATAAGAATAAACACTATGCACTATATACCTGCACTTACTGGCTACTCACCATCTTGAAATATCCCAAAGAATTTGTATGATGACATCAGAAAGAGAGAGAGAAAGTAACGTCATACAGAACCGACTGTACCTTTCAAATCCACAAATATTCTTACTTCACACACCAGGATAATAAATAAATACTCACTGATATAAGCAGGAAATACTTTGAAAAAGCCTACTCAGTTCCATACTACTCACATTTCTTCCCTTTGAATCTACAGCACGAAGTCCATGAAATTGGCAAATTACAAATGCCAACAGATATGAAGACATCTTTACACTGGGTTGAAACTGATCTCGACGCCAGTCAGCGTGAAGCGCCACCGTGTTGTTAACAGGCATATTTGAAAGTGTATAAAATCCTTGTGGCGTATGATGGTGACCTGTAAGAGAGGAACAATTAACACTTGTTTTTAGAAGTCGAAGTACATGACATGGGAATATGTAACATACAAAAGTTTTGTCATTCAAAATAATTGTAATCAAACAGAAATTTATTTCATGCGTTCTTTTGAGAGGTAGAGGTATCGCGAGGAGACGCAGCTTAATGCCTCTAGAAAGTAAAACGCTCTTGCAGCCCTTGACTGTGCCTTTCCACCTATGTACATTCATCAAGCACTTAATACATACAAATATAATGACCAATAGATGTTTTCACACTGAAAGACATTGAATGACACTAGCGTATGAATATATATCTTATCCAATGGATCCTAGTTACCCTAAATAATGAAACAGTGAACCACCTAGTGAATGGCTGTATTCCGGTTGGCAGTTACCTGGGATTCTGGTTAAAAGTCGTGACCAGTATGGTACAGCGTGTCAGACATAAGGACAAATAATGGCTGGAGACATTGGCTAGTGATTCCTCTATGTCATGAAATGCCAAAAGTTAGAATTCATGGGCTGGCCGTTCGTTCGGATCCCAGTGGCTGATGAATGGTCTACGAACCCACTTTGTAACCAGAAGGTCGTGGATTCAGACTTCGGTAGGTGTGTTCTGTCAGGAGTCCCAAACTAGGCTGACGAAACAGCCGAATGTCCAGTACGCTCAGCTAGTTTTCCAATGGTCCTCTAACCGATATCAGCTCATAATGAAAACCTAGAACCAATCAGTCAAATTCCCACAAACCAATACATGAAACTTCCAACTGTAAATCATTTTGACACCACATTATTCTATCCACGAATCGAATGGATCACTTTGAGTGTGTCCCTGTCCATAGATCGCTGCTCACTCTCTGACACCTGTTTCTACTAAAATGCCATAAAAGACAACAGATATTCTCTCTTCATACTTAGCAACTCATTCATACAGCAATAAATAAAAGAAGGGATGATTCGTCGGTCAATATACCGGTATTTGGTTTGCTTAATAACCCCAGTGTATTTTGTGAATCCAATTGGTTTCCGTTGTGAAATTATGATCCATTCACCTGACATCCATTCTAGATCCTTATACACATATAAAACATAAATGCTTTCACATATCCACAGATGAGGCAACATTTCATTTCTCTTTACCCTCAATGAACTTCAACCACCTCTCAGTTAAACAGAATATTCAGAATGCACAGGAACTGCAATAGTACACATACCTGAAACACGGCCTTAAATCCAGGTTCATCCCAACAAGGAAATACACGTCTTGCATAAGTTGACTCAAATTGTGTGTTTGCTAAGTACCTGAAATAAAGACGATGCATATCGAGTTAAGTGAAAGTGTATGTGAATGATTCGATGGTAATTATTCTATTTACTTTTGAGTAAGAAAGAGGGGAGCAATAAAGTGAACAATTCATGATAATTACAAAATACCTCAGCATACACGTCAGATATGTTCACTTGAAAATGTCAAGGCTTAAGCTTGCAGTTTACTTTATAAGTAAATTAGTGTATAACCAGTTAGGAAAGGAGAGAGAGATGTAAATCTATCAGTGCACTAATGACACTCTCCCACTCTGTACACTATGAATCGCGCTTAATATAGGAATAGGATCCGAGTGCTCTAGCGGCGTATAACTTCACATTATTCTATGAATGATGAGGTTTGCTTTGAAATTCATCCAAAGGGGAACATTACTATGAGCTGAATTCAGGATTCAAATCAAAGTGATTCTGATGACTATTCAGTCTCTGGAATAAAAGTACTTACTTATAGGTTCCATTTTCTGCATACCGACTCAGATAAAATCCTAGCGGTTCGTAGTTTAGTGAAGAATTAAATTGACCAAATATCAGTTTATAACTTGCATTGGGCTGTAGTGCATCTTTTAACTGTATATGGTACCATTCAGCGTCTTTATCGTAGGATATCGTCTGTATTGGAATTTCCGTCTTCTTTGAATCTTCCTTATCGTCTGAAAATATCTATACAAAACGAGACAAGATGGAGGGGAGTCGTGAAAGTGAGTCACACTGAATTATTCATAGAAAAAAGACTACTGCACATCGTCGCCCACATTTTAATTACTTGATGTGGGTATCTGTCATTTAACATTGAGTATAATTTGAATTTACCCAGTAAAAACTCAACAAAGTCTGTTGTTCATCATTAAAGGAATGAAGATCTGAGAATGAATGAAGTAGACTAAAATTGGAATTTCAACTGAGTACATTTCATTAATAATTGTAAGCATAGAATTTTATGTATTCATCTCTGAATATTGTTTGCAAAAGTAACGATTAATTGGGGAACAGTAGACTGAACGAGGTTAATCTATAGAGAAAGGCCAGTGTTTGACTTGAAGTTTTAATCAAACACGAAGCCTTTGATCGGAGCTTTGTTCTTGTTAGCACACTGAGAAATATTGGCGATTCTGATCAGTGCAACTTTACACTCGATTCAGACGGTTCACTCCTGAACTATTTCATGACATTGTCGAAAGGTTAACATTCAGATAAGTTCAGTTTCAAATCCCTCAAATATGACTCAATCAAGGAGGATATAGTAGATAGATTTTGGAGAAACTCCTGAAAATTTACCAGTCCTTAATTCAACCTGCAAAGAGCTGAAACTATAATGTTCCGTTCTCCCTCCACTCCACTCATTTGTCGTAGAATGGTAAGTTTAATTTTTCTACAATATAAACACTGTGTTAGGCGGATTATTCCTTCGCTGAATCATTACTGCACTAACAGCTTCGCATACACAGAAAAATGTTAGATGGACTTCACTTACGAGTAGTAATATGAGTTTAGAGTTTAAGCTCAGAATGTGTGTAATTCCACTAATTTAAGTGATATCATGGCAATATAATCAAACAAAAGTAATCCATAATTCACTGCATGATTAGAAGAAGCTTTCAGGAATAAGTCATCAGGCTGCAGTGTGTGAGACTTCCCAAAAGCATTAACTGTAAATACTTGGATGACCAGAATTAATAAGTGACGTGTTATTGTCAACTGACGACTATTGAGTCCAACATGGACGACAACTTCATATATAATGAATGTTACTGACATAGCTTAAATGAGAAACATCACCAATCAAAACGAAGTATGACAGTACTTCTACCGCGAAATCAACAGGTAACAACGAATCATCTTACAGTCACACAGATCAAAGAAAACCAGAATAAACTTCCGTCGAAATCGAATCACTCACTTTGATTTGATCCCTACTGACATTGAGATTGGGATAAGCATGAATAAAGAGTTCTGCAGTTGCTGCTAAACACTGAATCTCTATGGTGACAGATCCATTAAAATAGGAGTCTTTAGTATCTGCATTTCCATGAATATGAACTTGAAGCTGTAGATCATAGAAGCGTGGAAATACAGTTTGTGGTAACCGTATATTCTTTGATGATTTGTTAACTGCTTCGTTTGTCGTCACCCCAGTGATATTATTCGGTGAGGTTTCTGTTCCCTTCAAAAATAAATCTGCATCATATCTGCGTTCAACCTCTAAAAAATATGACAACAGTTCAATTTGAGTAAATATTTCGATTGTGTTAGAAATCAGTCACAGTATTGGTATCCTTGTAAGTAATCCCCACGTGTGGTAATTTTCCGAGAGAAAATCTCAAATCAGTCTGAATACACGGAGTAGTCTAATATGTGGGGGGGGGGGATTATCTATGAAAATAAGTCGTAAACTAACCTGAAATTCCAAATAACACATTCGAAGTATTTGGGTTGAATAGATTAGAAACGTTGTAGGTGTCCGCGTATACTGCGGTTTACTGGATATCTAATTGAAAACGTTAAGATGAGTATATGCTCAATCGATGAAATACTTCTTTCATCTTTGATTGCACAATCGTAATTAGTGTGATGTTCCCTTGTACTTTGTTTCGTGCAGTCCTACAGGAATGAGGTCAATTGCGAGCCCAAATAGCTCAGTGGTAACGTGTCTGACTGCAGACAACACTGGGTGAAACCAGTTCAAATCTCACAAGGGACATGACTTCCTTCAAGTAAGTTGCACATACGCCTTGCTGACTGGTGAGTGCCAACCAGCACAAAACATAGGTCAAGCAAGACCTCCTGTTGCCGATTACCTCCAACCGTCTAACTTCTTTTATCCATTTTTTTCTAAATGAAAACACTTTTATCCCTATCCTGGAAGGTCACTTACAACCAAAAACTAATGAATACGGGTAGGAAATATCTGTTGGTCATGAATATGAAGGCTTAACATGAAAATCTTAACCTCAACCTGTAAGACTTTCTTTAAAAAAATGTACGTATTGACCAGGTTTGTCTAAGGTAAATGAAGTGAGCATAGATAGATTACTCGATCAAAGTTACTCTGGGGCAACTATTTTAGGTTCTTGTATTAATTCATAAACGATTTTGACTTGACCATCTCCCTTCATAAGTAAAGCGTGGTTTAATGGATGGCAATTTGTAATGTAATCTAACCTCACTAGGAATCTCCTGGCTGAAAGGGGGGCAGTTTATCAATCCTGTTTGACAGTTCATCGTCAAATAGAATAAATAAGGAAGACCTGCATCTTTGCTGTTAGTAAGCGGGAAAGAGTTCGTTGTCATCAAAAAACAAATTTAACACAGAATTACTAAAATAATCTATTTTTTCCAATTACATAACATTAAAAATACATTAATGAATGCTAAACCATATCATCATATTTGCAAAAATGAATAAAACTTTACTAACCCATTGGTGTATTATAGCCATAATAACGAAGGCTGTAAATACCAGTCGATGTTACTTGATTGTTACAAAGAAAGACGAAAACCAAGTAGACTGTCGTTAACAGCACTTTCAGAGGCATTCTTTGAAAATCTGAAAATATCAATCCTTCAGAAAAGCTACTCAAATGATTATTAGCTGACAGCGAAAACAATTCAAACAGTCAGGCTTTTATAGTCTTCTTAAATAAGGAAGTAGAATTATTGCGTAATAGTTCATCTCGTGTTTGATGATGAATAAATAGTTCAGATAAGCGAAATGCATTCAAAGATATTTTCGCCTTGTAGTATCACTTAGGTCATTAGTGCATGAATAAATTGGAGCAAATTGTAACTGTACGTGTCATATTGTAAGCACCATTTAATCAATCATGTGTCACAATGTAGATTAAAATATTTATATATTACAGTCACGACTCGTGAACAAATTTCAACCCTTTTTTTAATTACAATTGATTCAATTTGTTTGTTTGTCTGTTAATTCGCGTATCAGTAAGTTAAGAGACATAATTACACTTCGATGTAGTTGTATTCACACACACAGAGAACACAAACCTCCTTCCTCCATTATACATAATTACAAATGAAAACAAGGTTTCAGGTGTGGTTTTCATGGCTAGAAATGTATATTTTCATATGAAATGTGTACAGCCTATTCAGTCTTTGCGATGATCTTTGTGTCTTACTGTTATGATTTGTTGACTTTATTTTCTTGCATGCTGTCAAGCCTATTTTACCACAGGAAGTCAGAGTTCTATGGTTAGAAAAGAAGCTTGTCTAGTCATCTCATTCAATCCATCTACCATGGACTTAGTTTCTTGTAATTTCTCTCAGATATCTTCTAATACAACATTTCTTTATCGAACACTTTGTCGGTGGAACAGGTCACTTTACATTTTACCCAACCATGTTTCTAATTTTATGTTGTTTCGGTTTGTTTACCCGTTACGATTAAGAATCACCTCTCAGTAGAACTGCAGATATTAATATCAGACTGAGTTCTCCTCAGTCACTTTGTCCAACCAAGTGATAACTACAACTATGCTGACTTTTAGGCCTGCGTAAGCTAATGTTTACCTGCCGCTGTCCTCAGGAATTGTGCTGATATTTTGTGTTACCCTCTTACTGACATTTTTAATGCTTCCTTTTCCAGTAATGTTCCACCTTTTGCAGGCAAAAACATTAAAATTTTCTCCATACCAAAAGAACTTTCTGGCACTGATATTAAATTCAGGCCTATTGCAATTACTTCTCCTTTTTAAAATTGATGGAAAAATTACTTTTACTTCGTCTTGAACCTTCATTGAAACCTTTCAATGATCCTAAACAATTTGCATATAAACATGGTAGAAGTACCTTAGATCCTGCGGTTGTCTTATATCATAATGTTGTTTCTTGTTTAGACAGAGGTGCCAAATATGTTCGTGGTGCTTTCCTAGACTGCACATCTGCTTTTGACCCTGTACCTAGAGGCCTTTTATTAAATAAGCTTTCGTTGATGCAAACAGGATCCTGGGCTAAGAGTTGGTTGCATTCTTATTTTTCTGATAGAATGCAAGATACTGTATATAATGGCAAATCTTCTACCTCGCTTACTAAACCCAGTGTTCCTCAAAGTGCCATCCTCTCTCCTTTTCTTTTTTCTTTCTTCCTACATGACCTGCCTCATTTAAACGAAACTAAATTTGTCAAATATGCAGTTGATCTTACTGTATCACTGCCTATCACTTCCGAGTCTGACTGCTCCAAACTTAATGGCTTTCTGTTGAACATCAACAAGTGGTCTAAGTCAAACGGTTTTATTAGTAGACAGAAGACAAGTAGTTCAGCGAAGAGTCTCTTTTCGGCGAATTCGGCGAAACGGTTTTATGTTAAATCTTTCCAAATGTCAGTCAGTTAACTTTACTTTCAAGCATCGACGTGACACACATGAACTAGTTAGTTCCCATGATGCCTGCAGCATAGATGGCACTGAGATTGAAACCAAGTCAAGCATTAAATACCTTGGATTAATTCTTTCCTCTGACCTTTCATGGTCATCCCACATCTTATCAATCTCTAAGAAAATGTTTCGTCTTACCTTCTACATTAAAAGGTTAAAACAACCAGGTATCAACCAATTTGTAAACTCCTCTAGTTTACCTATTGTACTCTATTGCTCTCCATTAATCTTTCCTGGGCTTCTCAAAAAAGACTAAATCATATTGCATTGTTTTGTATGTATGTGTACATTAAGTTTGTCAAACAAAGTTACAATTGGTCAAGGTTACTTTTAACTAAACAAGTGAAAGTTGGTAATACAGGTCAAGAAAATTAAGTGCTAATGAAACTAGGGTAGTAAAAAAAATGATGAGTTGTCACAAACAGTTGTAATAATAATAGTGAGTTTTACTCAGGATGCACATAGAAGCAAAGTAGATAATACGAAACTATGTAAGAGATCTAAGTGGATACAAGAATTGGTGTCGCTGCCTACCGACAAATGGAAAGCCTATGCCCTGCAGTTTTTGATGGAGACATATGGATCTTCGGGCAGGACTTCAAGGCTTCTGCGCAGTTGAGTGGCGTTCAAGATCTGTCAGCGACGGAGCTGCTACTTGGGACACTGCTGGAAGGTCGGGTGAAAGCAGCATATGAAAGTGTGAGACGAAGTACTGACGAATGTTCGACAGGGTCAGGCAAACAGTTTCCAAAGTGGGAAGGACCACATATGGTCACTTCGAGATGGGATTACGCGGACACAATCGCAATGGCGAACAATGAGAGGCGCGTGAACGTCAGCGAGCTCCAGAAATGGATACAGCGAGACAAGCCAACGATGGCGCCTGCACCAAGTAGATCAAGCCGACTTCAGTCGCACGTATTTGACGGGGAGACGAGTGTGGTGAGAGCAGGCCGTGAGAAAATATGAGCAAGGCTGATTCAACAACCAATCACAGCAAAGTTAACGTGGCAAAATATGATTCGCAGATAGAGAACTCTATTTGTCGAGGAATCCCGAAACAACCAATCAGAAGCCTGCGTTTATCTGCCTAACTTCTGATAAACAACCAATCAGATGACTGCGCTTGTCTACTTGCATAAGCTATAATAATGTATGTGAAATATGTATAAATACGTGTTGATTTTCATAATAAAACGATCTGTTGCCTGGCCCTTGTCTTCTGCATCCTGAGTAAAACTCATTCATCAAACTATTCATATTATTATTGCATAACTTCTTTTAACAACTGTTTGTGACAACTCATCACCTTTGTTACTACCCTAGCACTTAATGATCTTGACTTATATTACCAACCTTTACCTGTTTAGTTAAAATAACCTTAAGCAATTATAATTCTTGTATCCACTTAGATCTCTTACATAGTTTCGTATTATCTACTTTGTTTCTATGTGCATCCTGAGTAAAACTCACTATTATTATTACAACTGTTTGTGACAACTCATCATTTTTTTTACTACCCTAGTTTCATTAGCACTTAATTTTCTTGACCTGTATTACCAACTTTCACTTGTTTAGTTAAAAGTAACCTTAACCAATTGTAACTTTGTTTGATAAATCATATTGCTCAGGGAATTAAATGCTGTGAGTAGGGCTTGAGGTATCTCACTGCGTGAGCTCGCCAATATTATAGTCGAGAGACACATAAATTCCTGTACAAAATGGGCAAAGGCCGTACTGTCAGATCCCCTGCACCCCCTTTATTCACAACTCTCCCCTTGCATCTCATCATGCAGAACGAGAAGTCAATATAAGGAGTTATACGCTAGAACCACTACGTACAAAAATTCTACAATACTGTATTTAACCCGTATCTTATGTGATGAAGACACTGATAGACTTCAAAAATACAAGTTACTATGTAATTAGCAAAGTGAATCGACCCTTTCATCTTTTTGTAATTTTATAATGTCACCCTTTCTATCGTTTAATTATAACTTTGCTATTTTATTTTAGTTGTTATTACTATTATTGCCACACCTTTATACCCTTATGCATATTTTTCTCAGTATCGTATACTGTAATTTACTACATAGCTGCTATAGCAACGTTTTGTTGTTATTATTATGTAATGTTTATTTTTTTGCAATATTGTATGGAATGCTGAAAATTCCTTGCTGTATCATTAGTACTGCTTTTGGAATAAAGCAAAAAATATTATTAATTATTATTAATTAAATTATTATAATTAATGGGCTAGCTAAATTTCTATTTAGTGGAACTGCATTCACTTCTCTCCTCTTCTTCTTGTTCTTTTAATCTTCGAATTATGTATTTGGATCACGACATGAACTCGTGAAAATGTTCAGTTGACTTTCAAACTGTCTCTGTCTGTCTGTCTGGATTCAACATAGAACTTGGCACCGAAGTGCACCAGTTCCAGTTGCCACGTTCCAAATAGCACACAGAGGTAGACAAGAAGATGAGTGAAGAGAATCAATAGAGTTTGACAAATATAAGAGTGAAACAGAATGGGTAATGGTAGAAAGGAATATGAAAGATTACAGAGATTGAATACATCTGCGCCATTGACAACGATTTTGAGCCATGTCACCTATTGTCTCCAGCCATTGATTCCTAGAGTCCCGAGGGCCCCAACCCGGAAGTCTGCATCTCCCTACCTGACTCAGTTTAACTGTCAAGGATTTCATGGATTGATGAGGCCATGTTTTTGTTTGGCCACCACTGGCTCTTTTCCAACCTGCACCTATATCAGCTAGTAATGCCCGTCGGGGGTGGCGATGGTTAGGCATGCGCACCACGTGACCTAGCCATCTCAGTCTATGTAACTTTATAGCCTCGTCGATTGATTTTCCCTCTTTGCCCAACACTCTACGCCTAACGTCAACATTACTTATCTTGTGAAACCACCTAACGTGAGACAGAGATCGCAGACATCTATGATCGAAAGCAGTCAACCTTTTCATGTCTTCAACGCGTATTGGCCATGTTTCAGAGCCATAGAGAAGGACGGAGCGAACTGATGAGCAGTACACACGTCCCTTGGTTGATAACCGGATGTCACGCCTACGCCAGAGATGGTGTAAGTCAGCGAAAGCAGCTCGAGCTTTTCGGATCCGTGCTGAGATTTCATCGCCAATCAGTCCGTTGGTGCTAATACAACTTCCCAAATAGGTGAAGTGGTCAACATGTTCTATCACTTCACTCCCTATCACTAAGTTAGGGGTTGACGGGGTCCAGTCCTGTAGCAGCATCTTACATTTTGTAGGGGCGAATCGCATGCCAAACATACGAAGATTGCTGCTCAAGGTGTTCAGAAGACTCTGCATTTTGTCAGCATCCTCCCCTAACAGGACTATGTCATCTGCATATTCTAAGTCCATAAGACTATTC